CCCCCAATTTGTATCTTTTTATTTATATCTTTTTCCAGTTTCACTTTTTAAAAAATTAATTTATTTTCCAATTACAGTTGACATATAATATTGCTAGTTTCAGTTATTCAATATAGTGAGATTACCAGGGGTGGGCAAACTTTTTGACTCGAGGGCCACAATGGGTTCTTAAACTGGACCGGAGGGCCGGAACAAAAGCACGGATGGAGTGTTTGTGTGAACTAATATAAATTTAAAGTAAACACCATTACATAAAAGGGTACGGTCTTTTTTTTCAATAGTTTTATTCATTTCAAACGGGCCCGATCCGGCCCGCGGGCCATAGTTTGCCCACACTGGATTAGACACTTATATACCTTACAAAGTGACCACCCTGGTAAGTTTAGTTCCTGTTAACTAATTCTTAAACTGTAACCATTTGGCATGTCACTTGTATAATTTTTGGATATCCTTTCACCAATTTTATAATTATGAATACATTTTAAAATCAACTTACTTACATTTTCCTTAGCATCTTTCTAAGCAGTAATATCAGTGAAATAGTAGGCTTGATGTTCTGGATTATTATTTTTTTAATACATATTACAATAAGTGAATAATTATTCAAAATTTAAAAAATATGTGTGTGCCACTTAAAGTAATTTCACATACTGCTAGTAATATATCTATCATACTTATAATAAAAGAAAATGCTTCAGGTATACCTAACTTTTTACTGCTTACCCCAAGTACAATTTTTTAAAGGAGTCTTTCTTAATTTTTGCAAGACTATAGGAATCTATGATCTTAGTTTACTATCTTGACTAGGTCCTTTTCCTGATTTTAAATGACTTCATTAAACAAAAAAATATTTGTTCAAAGAAAAGTTTCAGGCAATTAGAAAAAATATATATAATTGCAGAAGCCAGACTACATTTGGACACTTACATATGTGTTTTGCTATAGATCCCATTTATTTTGCTACCTTGATTTTAGCAATTAGTACATCATGGGCATGTGCTTAAATGGTGTGGGTAATGAATGTACTACATAAAGTTCTTTTTCTTTGAACTACCAGTTTTGTTGGTGTGTGTGTGTGTGTGTGTGTGTGTGTGTGTGTATACATGCATATGAGGGAAAACTTAGATAAAACTTCTTCCTTAAGCAGTTTATACATAGGTCTTACCTCTATTAAGAAATCGTTCCCTCCAAACAAAGTTAATTGTGTTTAGACCTAATTTTTTATATTGGAAATTGATCTTTTATTTATTGTGTATAAAGTACTTCAGGAATGTTGAAAATGAATTCTACTTCTCAGTAAGAGAAGAAAAAGTCATTATATGAAGGTAAAAATAATAAAAATTATGTTTCAACAGGAAAACAATGAAACCGGCTTAGAGAATGTTATAAACAAAGTAGCCACATTTAAGTAAGTACTTAATGCTTATGCTTATTCTGAGAGTAGGCAATCTTTAGTCTTGTATTTTGGATACTTTGTAGAAGCTCTGAAATTCTTGCTTGAATTCCCAAGGACTAGAATAGAGTGTTAGAAAGAGAACAAGGGGCACACAGTAGGCACTTTAATATGTGTTTGTTGAAGAAATGAGTATTTGGGGCAGGTGAATGAGAGATACCCAAATGTGTGATATTAAGTGATTTAGTATGTAACAAAGAAACCTTATCCATAGTCTTTCCCATCAACTATGCCAAGACTTATTTATTCTATAAATTTTCATATGGTAAACTTATTCTATAAATTTTCATTTTACATATTAATTTTAGACTTTTCTAGTAGGTTTATTTTTGTTTGTTTTTTAAAAGAATTGTATATTTACTGACCTTGAGGCAGATTCAATACACAACCAATTTTAAATGTACATATTTTAATTCAATTTTGAAGTGTTTTCTCACACACATATAAATTGGCATGCAGTAGTTGTCCTAAGGCAGCGATTTTCAATGGGTGTGCTGCAAGAATTTTCAAAACATGCAATACCTATTCATTTAGGGGCACTGACCTCTTTTCCCTCTTGTCTAGTAAAAAATGACAACAGCTAACACAGCAATAGCTCTCTGATGTAAATGAATTAAAATAATGCTATTTTTTTGTCAGATTGGCAAAAGTATATTTTTTAGTGTGCTGCCAAATTTTAGCAATTATTTTATGTGTGCCATGAGCTGAAAAAGGTTGAAAATTTCTATCCTAAGATAAAACACAGTCATCTTAAACGGTTGCAAGTATTTTCACCCAAATTTGAAAAATTGTTTATCCTGAACATGAAAATCTCTAGTAGATTTAAAACAGTATTTTATGTGTTGGCAGATATAGGCAGTCAGTTGAGTGTCATCCCATCCCGTGCACCAAAAGGTTGCCGTTTTGATTCCTAGTCAGGGCACATACCCAGCTTGTGTATTCAAGGTGCATACAGGAGGCAACCAATTGAGGTTTCTTTCTCACATCAATGTTCCTCTCTCTCCCCCTCTCTACCATTTTTAGATTTGACCTTAGATAACACAATGTGCTTTAGTTGAACAGACAACCTTTAGGTTTCAGAGGCTAAAAAAGAATCCTTAGGAACTTAAAAAGGTCATGGAATCAATTATAGGTGGTATAAAATAAACTTCCTTAGATTTGTTTGAATTTCATAATTATGAAACACAGGTTAGCCGTTATCAGGACTTTGAGCATACAGTGTATGTTTTTAGTTTTAATATTGGAATGAATTTGTCATTTCAGTTTAAGCCAGCTGAGTGAGATATAATTATGTTTTTTTTCTGCTAGATTTTGACTTTTAGATTACTTTTTAGGTTCTTATTTTGTCTGTATTCTATTCTTCAAGACAACTGCAATTCATCTCTGTATTTTTTATTTATTTAGGAAACCAGGTGTATCAGGCCATGGAGTTTATGAACTAAAAGATGAATCATTGAAAGACTTCAATATGTACTTTTATCATTACTCCAAAACACAGCATAGCAAGGTAGGAAAAGATACCCTCTTCAGAAAATAAACCTAAAATGCTTTTTAACTCCACAGAAAAATTTCTGGGTTTTCTGTAGTTTCATACTCGTTTTTATTAATAGAGGCCATTATTTCATCCAAGAAATTAAAATGGAATCAATAATGTTATCTAGTGTGCAGGTAATATTGAAATTTTCTATATTATACAAGAAAAGGACAATAAGTAAATATTGTTGACTGAAAGAATGGGCACTAAATTCTTGAGGAAGGATATTACCCATTTATTTTGCAGAGATTTTCCTAGTACAACCATTTTGCTTCTGGAACAAGGTAGCATTTTTAATACACACTTCAGTATATAAAATATTTTGGTAGGTTGATGGAACTTTCTTGCTTCTTTCCAAGTATTCCATTTGTGTCATGCTTGTCAAGCAGTATATTTAAAGATAGACTGTCTTCTTTTTCTTTTTCTTTTCTTTTTTTAAATATATAGGCTGAACATATGCAGAAGAAAAAGAGAAAACAAGAAAACAAAGATGAAGGTAAAAAGTGAGATTCTGAATTGACTCATTTTGACTATTTCCTGTGCTTTTATTATCAGCTGAGTATATAGTGGTTTGTTTCTTGTTTATTTAGTGTGGGCAACTAATACAAGTGCAAAGAACCCTTTGTTTCTTGTTCACATTTTAAGATATGGCCCACCTCAGTGGTGATATAATTTTAAATTTATAGCAAATGGAGTTTATTTTGGGTGATTGACATAGTGATTTATATTTCTCTTGACATTAACGTTTTTAGTGCTTTCAAGGTAATAAAAATTGTGTTGTTTTTGCATGTAATATATGACTTTGACATTTGCAATTTAGCATGTAGAATAACCCAAATAAAAATGTACCTGTTTGTCTCTTCTGCCATCCATCTCCCTTCTACTATAGCATTACCACCACCACCACCTCCTGAATTCTGTCCTGCTTTCAGCAAAGTGATTAACCTTCTAAATTGTGATATCATGATGTACATTCTCAGGACCATATTTGAGCGGGCATTAGACACAGATTCTAACTTGTGGACTGAAGGGATGCTCCAGATGGTATGTAAACCTCAAATATTACTTGAGTCAGAACCACAACTAGTGCACCTGAGACATAGAGGTCATTAAAAATAGCTTAGGTGTGCCCTGCTGGTGTGGCTCTGTGGTTGAGTATCGACCTATGTACCAGGAAGTCATGGTTCAATTCCTGGTTGGAGCACATGCCTGGGTTGCTTGATCCTCAGAGTGGGGCGTGCAGCAGGCAGTGGATCAGTGATTCTGTCTCATGATTGATGTTTCTCTCCCTCTCCCTTCCTCTCTGAAATCAATAAAAACATGTTAAAAACAAAGAAAAGTAGGAGATTGAGAAAGTGGGAAAAGAACAGGCTGTGAGTCTTAGAGTCATCTGTTATAAATGTAGATTCACCTGCTGATAGAATATGGGGTACTGACATCAAAAAAAAGCTTAGGTGTGGCACAGATTTCCTTAGTGACATATCATCATGTTTTTATTATCCTTACTTCTGGGAACCATTTATTTTTATTTATTTATTTATATATATAAATAATATATATATTAGAGGCCTGGTGCACAAAATTCATGCACTCAGGGGTGGAGGAGTTCCTCAGCCCGGCCTGCACCCTCTCTCAGTTCAGGAGCCCTTGGGGAATGTCTGACTGAGGAGCAGGCCTAAGCTGGCAGTCAGACATCCTTAGGGCTGCCATGGAGGCAGGAGAGGCTCCTGCCACCGCTGCTGCACATGCCAAGTCTGAGCCCAGCTCTGGCTGAGCAGCACTCTCCCTGTGGGAGCACACTGACCACCAGGGGGCAGCTCCTGCATTGAGCATCTTCCACCTGGTGGTCAGTTTGCGTCATAGCAACTGATTGTTCCGCCATTTGGTTGATTTGCACTTTAACCTTTTATTATATAGGATAGCCTGCTCCTGCTGATAATAAAGTTCCAAGTTATTGTGTCATAATTTTCTATATATTTTTTTATTTCACTTGTATTATGATGCGACAGTGTAATAAAGACTTGATGACAGACAGATCTAGGCTAAATTTTCTTTTTTTCTTAGCTATTGTTGGCCTGCAGATTCTAAATGCTGTCATACTGTATGTGTATCTTAATTTTTGTTATAGCAATGGTAAATAAATGGCAATAAAAAGATTTCATACCATACCAGATATATTTGAAATCAAAGTTAACATTTCTCTTCCTAACTCTCAGTGCTATTCCTAGGAAGTAAGCATTGTTAAAGGTTTGTATCTTCTGGAAATTATTCCACATTAGTGCATATAAGCTTACTTCAATCTTAAAGCTACAGATTCTATTGTAGGCATATCTGTAATGCATTTAACCAGTCTCTTATTAAGAGACATTAGGTTGCTCTTAGGTCTTTGTATAACAGAGAACACTAAAATGAACATCCTTATATAAATATCTTTGTATAGTTAAGTGAGTGTATCTGTCATACTAATTCCTAGTATACTGGGTCTGTACCTTTACATTTTTTTATAGATATTGTCAAATTGGCTTCCAAAAATGTTACATCGGTTTACTTTCCCATCATCAGTGTGGTGAAAAGTGCCTGCTTCTCAGCACCTTTGCCAGTTTTGTATTTTACCAAATGGTAAAAAAAAATTTGCCGCTCTTGTGGGAAAAACAGGATGACCTTGCTTCACCTCACACTTATTTATTATTAAGTGAGGTTGAACATTTTTCATATGTGTACTTATCATTTCTCTTTCTGTAAATTTCTAGTTGGTAACCTTTGCCCATTTTTTACCTATCAGATTGCTTATTTTTATTCATCCGTTTAAAATATATTTACCTGAAGAAGCACAATCATAAAGATCTTCTCCTATATTTCTCCTGTAGGCATTTCATATTCTGGCGTTGGGGTTACTAGAAGAAAAGCAGCAGCTTCAGAAAGCTCCTGAGGAAGAAGTGACCTTTGACTTCTACCACAAGGCTTCAAGTATGTATTAGGCTGAGCGAAGGATAAGGTGGCCTTTTTGTACTGTCTTCAACCTAGAAGAACAGAATAAGTTTAGATTAGATTTTTATTAAATGCTACCTGAGTAAGAGTTTTTTCAAAGCACACTCCAGGCATATTGCTTATAAGACCAAAAGGAGAAAAGCATCTTATTTCTATTTATACACAGGGTTTTTTTTTTAGATCATTGAAGACATCATAAATCTATTTAGTTTATGGATATATAACAGCTCCCACTTTCATATTTTTGGAGCTTTGGATCTTATTTAAGTACTTTTACCAAACATAAAACATGTGGAGGAAAGGCAAGAGACAGATCAGTAAGATTCGCTTTCACTTACCAGCCCCAAGGGACAATGAGCAAGAGAGACCCAAAGTAAATCCAAGTTTTGAAGTTGTTTAATTCAGTACTTCGTACTTCCTGTAATTGCAGATTCTTCCATTAAAAACTTAATGTATTTAAGGGATTGATTGCAAACTTTGCTTATCCATTGAATCGTATTAGCTATAAGTTATAATTTATACATAATTATGAAGCAATTTATTTACTTGTGACATGTACTTTTTGTGTTTTAAAAAAGGATTAGGAAGTTCGGCCATGAATGCTCAGAATATACAAATGCTTTTGGAAAAACTCAAAGGAATTCCCCAGTTAGAAGGCCAGAAGGACATGATAACATGGATACTCCAGGTAAACGTGGAAAATAACTGGTTATATCTTGGTTTAGTTATTTAAGAATCCTCTACTTGCGCCCTAGCCGGTTTGGCTCGGTAGATAGAGTGTCGTCCTGTGGACTGAAAGGTCCCAGTTTCGAGTCCAGTCAAGGGCACATGCCCAGGTTTTGAGCTCAGTCCCCAGTCGGGGGTGTTCAGGAGGCAGCCCATCAGTGATTCTCTCTCATCATTAATGTTTCTATCTCTCTCCCTCTCCTTTTCCCTCTGAAATCAATATTTTTTTTTAAAAAAAAGAAGAATCCTCTGTTTGCCTCTAAAATTAAACCACTATATTCTTGTGAAGTCATGTACTTCTGTTTTGTTTTTTGGTTTTTTTTTTAATATATTTTATTGATTTTTTTACAGAAAGAAAGGGAGAGGGATAGAGAGTTAGAAACATCGATGAGAGAGAAACATCAATCAGCTGCCTCCTGCACATCTCTTACTGGGGATGTGCCCACAATCAAGGCACATGCCCTTTATCGGAATCGAACCTGGGACCTTTCAGTCCACAGTCTGACACTCTATCCACTGAGCCAAACCGGTCAGGGCTACTTCTGTTTTTTTATGCTTACTCCTATGTTTTCATGTTAGTAATTCTATTTTCTCTATGTTTTAATGGAGTTTTAAAAAAATAAAATGTATTCATGTGTGTTATTCAGTTAACATATTGAATCCAACTATGTGCTGTACTCATTGCTAGACTCTGAACAAGACAGATAAGGTGCTTGCTATCATAGAGCTTATATACTAACTGAGATGCAGACAATAAATAAGAAAATACCAGGATAATTCAGATGAATGGGGGTAACTTTAAATGGGTAATCAGTAAAGGTCTGTTTTGGGAGATGACATTAGAACTGAATGACATGAAACCAGTCATAAGAATCTGGGGGAGCACTCTAGAAAGAGGGAACAGCAAAACTAAAGCTCTAAGGTGACCAGAAAGAAGGCCAGGATGACTGGAGTACAATGAGGAGAGGGAGAGAGAGATGGGCAACAAGGTCAGAGGGGCAGCCAGCAGCCAGGGCATTATAGGAACTTACAGGTCAGGGCAGTGATGGCGAACCTTTTGAGCTCGGCGTGTCAGCATTTTGAAAACCCTAACTTAACTCTGGTGCTGTGTCACATATAGAAATGTTTTGATATTTGCGACCACAGTAAAACAAAGACTTATATTTTTGATATTTATTTTATATATTTAAATGCTATTTAACAAAGAAAAATCAACCCCAAAAATGAGTTCATGTGTCAACTTTGATACATGTGTCATAGGTTCGCCATCACTGGGTCAGGGTAAAGTAATGGATTTTACTTTTTTTTTTTTTTAATATATTTTATTGATTTTTTTACAGAGAGGAAGGGAGAGGGATAGAGAGTTAGAAACATCGATGAGAGAGAAACATCGATCAGCTGCCTCCTGCACATTCCCTATTGGGGATGTGCCCGCAACCAAGGTACATGCCCCTGACTGGAATTGAACCTGGGACTCTTCAGTCCGCAGGCCGACGCTCTATCCACTGAGCCAAACCAGTTAGGGCTGGATTTTACTTTTGAGTACAGTGGGAAACCATTGAAGGATTTTAAGTGACAATATATTATCTATATTTTTACAAGATCACTCTGCTGTGGGGTAAATAGATTATAAGGGACAATTATAAAATCAGGGAAACCATTAAAAGATTATTGCAGTAAACCTGGTAGAAGTAAGTATGACTTAGACTAGGATGCAAATGCCGAGAAGCTAAGCTGATTAAGGTATAATTTGATGGTAGAATCTATTGTACTTGCTGATAGTTTTGATGGAAGGGGAAATTAAGGAGTCAAAGATGACTTCTGGATTTGGAGCTTTGAACTATTGGGTGGATGGCTGTGCCTTTGGGAAGGAGTGTATAAGGGGTTATGGATAGAGGCCAGGAATATTTCTTTAATGGAAAACCTTCCATATGGAAACATGAAATCAAGGTTATGGGGTTTCCCCTCACTGTATTTATTAAAATATTCTTATGTTATCAGCTAGATAATTGTTTTATAATTAGAATATAGAATGATTTTTTTTCCACATTCATATCAAATGGAGATCTTTGTACTGATTTGTACTTCAAGAAATCTGCCCTTTTTATTATGTAACTAGAGGCCTGGTGCACGAATTTATTGCATGGGGGGGGGGATCCCCTCAGCCTGGTTTGTGCCCTCTCGCAGTCCAGGACCCCTTGGGGGATGTCTGCCTGCTGGGCCTAAGCCAGCAACAGACATCCCTCTCGCATTCCGGGGCTCTCGTTCCCTACTGCCCATCTTCAGTGGAGGTGGGAGAGGCTACTGCAACGCCGCTGCACTCGCCACCTGTGAGCCTGGCTTCTGGCTGACCAGAGCTCCTGCGTTGAGCATCTGCCCCCTGTTAGTCAGTGTTTGTCATAGCGACCCTTTGGTCCATTTGCATATTAGGGTTTTATTATAGAGAATCAGACATTCCTTAAGCAAGCTTAATGTAATTGGATATGTAACTGTAAGATGAAGATGTTATTATTAAGATTTTTCTTGAAGTAGATTTCATGAATATTTTGTATTTGAGTTAAATTTACCAACATAATTTAAAATACAAAATCAAAACAGAAACAAGAGAAGTAGTTAACTATTCTAACTTTATTAAGAAAGTAAACTGAACTGTGATTTAGTCCAACATTTATATTCTACAGATAAGATGTTATAAATTGAAGATTTATTCCTGAAAATTTAGTTTTGGTTGAAATACCAAAGTTCATTGACAAAATATACAAAAAGCATAAGTGTTTACTCTTATAAACATTGGGTATTTTATCCAAATGTGTAATGTAAAGTTGTGTTGTAAGTTTCTTGTGGGAGATTTTTCCACATGAGATTGAGGCTCCTTCAAAATATCAGTAAATTTATACCTTCGTATTGTTGGAACCTGATATTTGGTATGAAGAATTAGATAGCTGTTGTGGAAACACCTCTGAAGATAAATGATTAAGTGAAAATGAAAAATAGGAAACAGCAACCTTGTATATAACAGGATTGCCTCTTATGAGAAGACTAGAGGCCTGGTGCATGAAAATTCATGCACCTGAGGGCAGGGGTCCCTCAGGCCGGCCTGCCCCCTCTCACAGTCCGGGAGCCCTCGGGTGGGAGGCAACCTGGTGATCAGGGGAAGGCGATGGGCAGCCGCCATCTGAGGCTTGCCTGTACCTCAGGCTGGCCCTGGGCGGCTGGGGACTGGGGAACTCCGGAGGCAGGTGCGTGAAGTGGCCGGACCCACCTGGGGGCGGGCCCAGCTGTGTTGCACGCCTGCCGCCCCAGCAGGCCTGAGGGGACCGTGCGCCACCATCTTTGAGGGTGTGACAGTCAATTAGCATATTCCCTCTTTATTGGCTGTGGACGCCGCCATCTTGTGAGGGTGCGATGGTCAATTAGCATATTCCCTCTTTATTAGATAGGCTATGTAAATATAAAGAATGAAATTCTTTATTTTCCCTGGCAAAAGCAGAGGTATGGTAACACCTGCAGATCAAATCAGTTTATTTTGATTCCTGGAACCTCCTCTTTAGCTCCATTGCTAATCAAATAGGGGAGGTATTTGTCACAGTTAGGAGTCACTGTGTGTGTGTGTGTGTGTGTGTGTGTGTGTGTGTGTGTGGTTTAAGTCAAAGAAATTTGGACACTTGATGACAAAATCAGATTAGTGAATTTTTCTGTTCCTGATCAGTGCAACCAAATCTTTTAACATTTTATTTGTTTTTCAGATGTTTGACACAGTGAAGCGATTAAGAGAAAAATCTTGTTTAATAGTAGCAACTGCATCAGGATCAGAATCTATTAGGAACGATGAGGTAATAACATTATAATAATGGTGACATTCATCTCTGTCTTTGAACTTTGCTGGTATAAAGGAACTGCTTCTTTTTGTTAGAAGGAACCTATTGTAAAGTACATGAGATGTCCATTTTCTGTTGTTCATTAAGCTGCTTCTTTTTTTAAATCCTTATCCAAGGAGTGAGGATATTTTATTCCTTTGATTTTTAAAGAAGGTGGAAGGGATGGGGGGTGCTGAGAGAAAAAGAGGGAGAGAGAGAGAGAGAGAGAGAGAGAGAGAGAGAGGCATCGACATGAGAGAGACACATCAATTGGTTGCCTTCCACATACACAGCGACCGAGGGCAGAATCAATCCTGCAACCCAGGTATGTGCCCTTGACTGGGAATCAAACCTGTGACCATCTGGTGTGCAAGCCAACATACTAACCATCGAGCCATGGCCAGGGCTCATTAAACTTCTGTATTGCAGGGATTAGTGGTACTTGACATGTAGTTATCCAATATAATACAAAGTCAGAGGAAATAGATGTGTAGTGGAGCTCTGTTGGAAATACTTCATTAATTTAAAAACTTTTAATATCTGATATTGGGATATGTCTTACAATCAGTAGCTTCTTATAATTTAATCAGCCGCATTCTTAGTGGAACATAGACAATGGTACATTTTAGATTCAATGAAATAGTAATATTTAGGTTATTAATTTTCTTAATATAATGAATCAGGTTTTGATTATTTTAATCTTAAAATTAGAATATTATTTGTATTTATTAAATATCCTTTATAAAAGGAAAACACTGGGCTTAAGTTAGAATACATAATAAAAAATGCCAGTACAAAAGATGGCAGCGTAAGCAAATGCCTGTACTCACTGCCTCCCAAACCACATCAAAATTACAACTAAAATATAGAACAACCATCATCCAGAACCACCAGAAAGCTGGCTGAATGGAAGTACTACAACTAGAGAAGTAAAGAATAAAGTACACTGACACTGGTAGGAGGTGCACAGGTGCAGAAGGGGCAGGTCCAGCACCCATGTGTGCCACCTTTTTAATTGGGAGAGAAATTGCTTCTGCGAAGGCCGCCCTAAGGAGCAAGGGGTCCCAGCCCTACACCAGACACCCAGCCCAGGGTCCCAGAGCTGGGAAAACAAGTCTCTACGCACCGTAAAAACCAGTGCAGCTTGGGGCTGAGTGACACACAGGCTGCTGGAGACCCAGCTGCTCCTCTTAAAAGGCCGGCACCACAAACTGAATTTACAAAGCGGGAGCTTCCTCTGAGCTCCAGTGCTGGGTGAGGCTCTGGAGACCCAGACACATACAGGGAGAAACCGCACTGTTGGGCATCAGGGCAGGAACTCGGGGGCAGCTTTCTTCCAGACGGAGGTGCTTGCGTCAGTCATTATTCTCATGCACGGACCTCCGTGGTTGCAGGGCTGACTGGCAGCCATTTCTGTTTGCTCCACCTGGTGATTCCCTTAGGCCCTGCCCACCCAATTTACAACCCCACCCAAGCTGTGCAGCGGCTTTTGCATATGAATGGCCTGCCTTTTCTCAGGCTAAAAACCTGTCAAACAAGCTGCAGCTGGGCCAGGGGGCTCAGACC